TCCTGGCACAGGTGGGGCACACCTAGCACAGGAGCACACCTGGTGCAGGTGAGGCACACCTAGCACAGGTGAGGCACTCCTGGCACAGAAGTACATCTGGCAGAGGTGAGCACTCCTGGCACAGGTGAGGCACTTCTGGTGCAGGTGAGGCACACCTGGCGCAGGTGAGGCACACCTAGCACAGGTGAGGCACTCCTGGCACAGGAGCTCTCCTGGCACAGGAGCACTCCTGGCACAGGTGAGGCACTCCTGGCGCAGGTGAGGCACCTGGCGCAGGTGAGGCACTCCTGGCACAGGTGAGGCACCTGGCGCAGGTGAGGCACTCCTGGCGCAGGTGAGGCACTCCTGGCACAGGAGCACACCTGGCGCAGGTGAGGCACACCTGGCACAGGTGAGGCACTTCTGGTGCAGGTGAAAAAGACCTGGCACAGGTGAGGCACTCCTAGCACAGGAGCACACCTGGCACAGGTGAGGCACACCTGGTACAGGAGCACACCTGGCACAGGTGAGGCACACCTGGCACAGGTGAGGCACACCTGGCACAGGAGTACACCTGGCAGAGGTGAGCACTCCTGGCACAGGTGAGGCACACCTGGCACAGGTGAGGCACTCCTGGCACAGGTGAGGCACACCTGGCACAGGTGAGGCACTCCTGGCGCAGGTGAGGCACACCTGGCACAGGTGAGGCACTCCTGGCGCAGGTGAGGCACACCTGGCACAGGAGCACACCTGGTGCAGGTGAGGCACTCCTGGCACAGGTGAGGCACTCCTGGCGCAGGTGAGGCACTCCTGGCACAGGTGAGCACACCTGGCACAGGTGAGGCACACCTGGCACAGGAGCACACCTGGCACAGGTGAGCACACCTGGCGCAGGTGAGCACACCTGGAGTCCCCACGTTGCTGGAAGCTCCTGCTGCTCTCCTGGGCCTCGCGGTGCCCCCGCGGTGCCCCGCGGTGCCACCTGTGCCGTTCCCGCAGGTGGGCCGGACGCTGGCGCGGGCGCAGGCGGCCCTGGCGTGGCCCGAGGGGACCCCGGCCGCGG